GAGATTGGCCTTGGGAGACCCCCCTTCCATTGCTGACTGGTCGCTGGGGGGGCACGTGCCCCCCTGACTAAGGTGGCACCAGTCGCCCATGGAAGGTAGGACCATCAAAGTAGGACCATCCCCAAGTACATTATTCCAGCTTGTTTCGTTCTACAATCTCTACCCTCCTTCTCCCTTTCTATTTAAATCTCTCTCTCCTTATATGCTGCTCCCTGGTCCTCCCTTCACAGCCCCCCACCAAGCGAGCTCTAGCCCACTAGTGCTTTTGCTGCATCTAATATGTACTTGTTATAGTCGGCATGTCTATGAGACACTGTGCGTTAGGCTAAATAACACTGTGCAGTAGGTAGTGTGGTGGTTAAAAACCATGCTAATAGCCTACTACACAGTGTTATTAGGCTAATGTGCAGTAAGCATCACAAAATAACCGTGTGCCAGCGCTGCTGTGCAGGAACTCTAGTTATGGTGCATTTAGTTAGTACTTCATTAAACAAATCCTAAACTAAATGCACAGTAATTAAAGGGTATAGGTGTTGGCCTAAGGACATAGGCAGACAAATCTGATATTTTTTTATTAGACCAACTCAAATAGTTGGAAAAATTCTTCTTTGTAAGCTTTCGGGTACAAACACTCTTCGGCAGGCTGAGGAAGCGTCTGCAGTTGGTCTGTGCTCTTCCTGAATGAAATATAAAAGATTTTATATGAGGCAATTTTATAGTAAAAGATGTTTTATGTCCCTGAATGGAATATAATCTTTTATAGTATAAAATCTTCTACGTTATTGTGATGGGCTAGCTGATGGTGATTTGGCCCAGGGGTTTTGAAAGGTAAAAGATGATTGGAGGGCTTGGGATTCCCTTTCCTCACCAATTAGGCCCCAGAGACTCACCCTCCATGTCCCCTAATTGGACCCTTGAGTCACCTGGAGGGGGATAAAAGGGGCAGCGCAGCAGCTGACTCAGGGAGGAACAGTGAGGGACCATGAGGAAGGAGCCTCAAAGAGCTGGGCCAGCAGATGAGGAAGGCATCTCAGAGCTGGCAAGAGCTGGGCCAGCAGACAAGGAAGGAGTCTCAAAGAGCTGGCAAGAGCAGGGCCAGCAGGGTGGGGGCAGTTGCCCCAGAAGAGCCTGAAGGAGTGGGATCTGTAGGTGGCAGTTGGATCCTCAGCAGTGTGGCGTGCAGCCAGCAGGAGAGGCTCCCTGCTGGGATCCAGGATCCCCTACGAGAGGCTGCAGCCAGCTGGAGAGGCTCCCCAGCACCAGCAAGAAGATGAGCAGTGACCTGAGAGGTTCCCAACTCTATTTCCAGCTCTTCCAGCAAGAGGTAGGGCAGCTTGATGTGAAGCAGGGGCTCCTGAAAGGTCAAAACCCCTAGCAGCTTGGCATAGTACCAGCACTGGTGGCTGTGTGGTAGAGTTTCTGCCTACCATGTAGCAGATATGAGTTCATGTCCTAGTTGGGTAAAGTAGGGGTGAGTGAAGCAACAGGGAGGATTTCTTGTCCCAGTAGAAGGTGGTCATTGTGTTTTCCCTTTCCACCCCCTCCAGGTACCTATACCCTACATCTCTTGTTGTTTGATGTTTTCTATTTTGTGCATTTTATATTTTGCCAACCTGTATTGTTTGTTGTACTGTTTGTGTTTTATACTTTGTTAAACTGGTCTTTTGTCAACTGGATGAATATGTCTACAAATGTAAATGCCTAACCTTTATTGAATCCCACCCCCTCGAGGCATTGTAGTGTTCGCTCTACCCCCTGGTTTATACATGTTACATTCCCACTACTGTTTTCCTTATTACAAGGTATATGGTTAAGTCCCCATTGGTGATCTGGCTCTGCTCCATAGGGAAAGGAGGGTCTCTATACCTCCCACAGCGCTCGTGCAACTGCTCTGATCCCTTCAATTGGAGAGGGGGTGCGTCTTGGAGTACCATCCTGGTTACATTATAAAAGATTATATTCCATGCAGGAAGAGCACAAACCACCTGCAGACACTTCCTTAGCCTGACAAAGGGTGTTTGCACCTGAAAGCTTGCAAAGAATTTTTCCAACAGTAATTAAGGCGCATTAATGAATGTGTAGAAGCGCCCAGTGATTCTCAACTGAAGTGTTGCTGCTGCACCCCAGGGTGCCATGAAAGAGAGCCTCTCGGGTGCCTGGCAATGTGACCCCTGCTTGGGCCTGCAAAGGTGGCAGGAGATGAGCCCAGGGGTTTCCCATGGGGAACCCAGGGTGTCTAGGATAATTCTTGACCAATTCTTGGTCTGACCTCGTTGCAGCGTAAGGGCCCTGGCGTGTTTGTGGAAGGACAAATAAAAGGCTGGCACCATCTGAAAGCAACTAACGGGGACCCCTGCACATCTCGCGGGCTGGGAACAGCTTACTCGGGCCCCGCTGAGCGGTAGCAGGCACCAACCACCTTCCCCAGGGAGACTACGTTTCCCAGCAGGCGATGCGGGAGGCCCGGAACGCGGGGCCAGAGCTCGCGGGCACGGAAGACTGGGGAGGAGCTGCGTTGCATGCCGGGAACAGCCTTATTCCCAGCTTGTTCCTTCCCGGCGCAGGAAGAAGCTCATTAGCCGGCGTGGTGGCGTCACGTTGCGCTACCTGGGCCATTGGCGGGACGCGCAAAATGGCGCGTGGGCCGCGAGCAGGCGGGGGGGCTCGCAG